ATTTGAAACGATTTAAAATTTTAACTTGTTTATACTTCTAAAACCAAGTATACTTCCCAAAAAATTCCCGATAGACAAAATCGAGTTCACACAAAAAGCATCGAGTAAATAGATCCTCATGCACTTGTTTAACAAGAAATTTGCTGCCCCCGCGCTATGGTGTGATCGGTGTGCTCCATAAACCACCACTACTGCTTATGACGATGCGCGCGTGCTCGGCTCGGCTCTCGTACTTATTATACGTGTACGCGAGGAAGTTATTAATTGAAGGAAGAATGAGACGAGGGAGGAGCGAGAGCGAGAGAGAATGCACTAAAAGTTCCAGCTCAATTGAATTATTTGTGCTCGCGTATGTATGCACGGAGACGGCTGCACTCGATCGTGTGATTATCGTACCTACAAGGCGTGTGTGTCATTCGATGTTCTTTTGGGTACTCAAACTTTATATCGTTGCAAAATTCGAGCGCGTCATTCTCAATTTTGCTGGACTTTCGAATCTACGCGCAGCTGTAGAGAGCTTTTTTAGGAATGTCGAATGTGTACTTTTATGATTGTGTTGCTGTTGATTTCAAATTCGAGGATGATTCAATAACAAAAAAAACTAAAAGTTATTAATTTCAAATTAATTTATTTCAATTTTTAACGATTCATAAAGTGAATTTAATTTTGCAAGAATAAAAGCTCGCTTCTACGATCGAAACTGCGCGAATCGATCGATATCAAAAGCTCGCACCGGACGCGAGCACTAAGTAATGTTTATTCTTCAAACAGCATTATAGGCAGCTCGAGTCCGACACGTCAATTTAAAATTTGTCACTTTGATTTATAGCTCGGCCCGATAAACACGTTGCAAGCCATATACATACGTATGTATATATCGACGAAATTACATTTCACCCGCGGCATTAAGGGCACGCGACGACGTGGCGCAAACTTGTCCAAGTTCGAGCATAATTAATAGGACACGAAGACTCGTGTGTTTGTGTGTGACAGCTGCGTTATACGTATATACATCGTCGCGTGCAATGTTGTCGGTAAATACAGCGGCTCGTGTATGTAATATACATATATTTTTGTGTCAGAGAGAGCGAGGAGAGGAGCGAAAGAGAGATGCTTATCGTGATAATTCTACATCGAGTTCGTCACGCGCTTGCCAGCGAATTTCGTATGTACGCGATATCAAAAAGAAACGACGGTATAGCGAAACTCAAAGAGTATCGAGAATAAAAGTGATTCTGTCATTGCGTGCAGATAGAGAAAGAGAGAGAAACTCGACTATACAGACGGGTGACAATGCGACGAACAAACTGGCGCAGGTGCGCGCACGTGTCTGTCGTGCCTGTCGCCGATCGCCACCACCCCTGCTCGACGACGATCGTCCGTCTCATTATTTATGCATGTAATATTCACGCGCCGATCACGCAGAGATCGAGAACGAGCGCAAACCACGTGTGTATCTATATGAGATACCCGATTGGTACGACGATGCAAAAGATTGAAATAAAAAGGTATAGAAAGGATCGGCTTTACGTCGTAAATTGCGGATTTGCCGGCCGAGAGATAAGACCACTGCGATTCAATCCCCCCCGCACGGGCTGGACTCGATGGGGTTTCGCTGTATCGTTTTGTTCAAGGTTATAGAGACACCTACACTATATATGCGTTAGAATCGTTTGTTTTTTTTTTTTTTTTTTAATGTATCTCCGCAAGTAGCGTTAACGAGGTAATCGATTCGCCAAGCCGAGGATACATAGGCGTACAAGTGTAGTAGCAAAGAAGAAGAAGAAGAAGAAAATATAAACGAGCTCACCTAATTTCGTCTCGTTAATAATAATAATAGGATAAGAGGCGCGCGCGATATCGAGGCGCAAGGTGAGAGCGAAGCTCGAGCAAATTCAATTTTCTGCGATATCCCTCCTCTCTCCCCTATACTATAGGCTTTGCAGATAGCAGCATATATTATATAGCAGCGCAGTGCATGAATAATTGAAGGATCTCGCGCGAATAGAAAATTTATATTTCCTTCCGTTCGCGCAGCGTTGGCAATTATCATATACGGGAGCTAACCATTTTTTCTCTCTCTTTATGCATTTTCACGGAATCGACTTACGCATATATATATATATAACGCGGGGAATGAAAAGAACGAAAAAAAAGGAGTCGTAAAAGAGCGAGCGCGCGCACGAGTCAGCGAAAATTACGCGCGTTCGCCGAAGCAGAGCCACTGCGTCTATACGCGTGTAATATCTACCATCCCCTCCCTCCCTCGACGAGGGCAGGATTTTCACGAGGACGAGCTTCGCGCAATCGAGCCCCCGACGGGGAGAGAATCGATACCGACTGTCGCCGGCCGGTCGCGGCAGCGTCGGTGGCGGCGACGGTACTACTATTATATATACTACAAAAACCAAGCCCCTCTGCGCTAAGCTCGTTATTATTATGGAGTTTTCGGCGTCTCGTTTCTGTCCCGTACGCAATAAAATATATAAATATGCTGGACTCTGCTTCCAGTTGCGCTCGATCCCAGAAGGCCTTGACATTTTTGCAAGGGTTAAGTCATCTCGAGCGCGGAAAACTTTTCGACTGATTCACGCGATGACCCTTGAAACGAACAACGCGATCATATACGTGTTGCCGTTGCTTCTTCTTCTTTTCTCGCGCTCAACTTTTATGTGTCAAGGATACGTGAAAATGCCGTAATTATCGTGTATGAATTTACACCTCGAATCGCGCGTCGATATACAATAAATCTCGCATCGGGCGCGAGGATAACACACGCGGTTATAAGGTATATAATTTCTCTCACGCTACCGTGAAAATAGAAAAAGAAATGAAAAATCAAAGGAACTGCGCGTCCAATCGAAGCTGATAAATCAAGCGAGTTGCTGCTGCACCCGAGGCAATGATTTTACTCTCGTGCACACGTGGAGTTCTCATTTTGATCGCAAAAGAGGAATTATCTATATCGCATCTGGGTGCAGTTATACATGCTCGCGCGGGCTGTTTTTAATAACGGGAGAAAGCCGAGTAGCGTTTCTCTGACGGCGCTTGTACCTGCTCTGTATATGTATAGCGAAAAATCACACACACACTTACACGATACTGTACGCTACAGTATAGCTGTTATATCCTACAACATTTTTTCGTCACTCTGCGCTCGATCGCTGCTCTGCTTTCTTTTTCCTCCGACTTTGTGTCTTTTTTTTTTCACGGAAACGCCATATGCCCGTGTGCATTAGCGTATATGTGTGCAGCAGCATGGGGGCAGCAGATAGTGAAACCTTACGCGCGAGAGGCGCGCGATTTTTTTTTTGTTCGTCGTATCGAATTTAAACTGTGCTACTACGACGTCCGATCGTGCGTGTGTGCATTTCCGATTTGCCGCGCGCGCGCGGAGGGGAGAGGTATATAGGTACATAATAGGGAGCAGTGATTTTTTTTTTGGCCTCGAGATCCATCCGAGAATTATCAGCGATGGAACTCTTCTATCTCCGTGAAGTGCCTCGCGCGCGTAATGTGGGGGAAAAAAATATTCCTTACTCGAGTGTATTATATACACAAATGTATAAAAGACTCGAGAGAACCGGTTACTTCGAATGGACGCGAGACACTAAACGTACACGAATCGTGGAATGTTTGTGATACAGGCGCTTCGTGTCGCGGAATCGGCCTTGGACATTTTTTTTTTGCCTTCGCCTTCGAACTTGCATATACGTCTATGAGTATATTTTCGAAAATAGTATATACGAGTTTACGTACAAAAATATCGCGACGCAGGTGTACACAACAGCCGCGCGCACGTGCCGGTGTCCATACATAATGGGTTAATTCGCGTTCGATTTCTCAATCACCGCGTCGATATATATACGAGTAAATACGTTTCGCGCACGTATCGTGCAGTTTCGCTTATTATTTATAACGCGCAAATTGGGAGTCGTGGACTCTTTCTCGAAAGAATTAACAGAGAGAGAGAGAGAGAAAATCGTTGTTGATAGGAGGAGCAATTACAATTATATTTATTTATTTATACACGAGCTTCGGCTAGATCGTGAGAACTCTAAGCGCGAATGTGTGTTAGTCGCTCAAGGAGCTCCTCGGCGAGGATTCGAAAGTTCGACGATAGAACACACCACACCGCGCACTCATAACAACAAAAGGAATTCAATGTAATCCTTTCACTCTCTCGGGGCGTGTATTATAGTCGCGCGGAGGCAAACAAATTTATTATATTTATAATAATTACGGTACGGACTATCGCGTTTCTCGATGGTGTCGACTCCGCGTCGCGCGGAGTACGACAGAAAACCGGAACTCTTCAATTTGAAATCAAAGCGCAAATCTGTTCCTTCTTTTTGCCTTTCGTGCGCTTCTTGCATTATACGCTCTAATAAAGATACGCGACGACACACACACACAGCGCTCCATTTTATGCTCCTATACGTTGGGCGATGTATATAATATAATATCTTCTTGTCAGACTCGCACACACACACACACACACACGTAAACATAATATATCGTACACAAAGCGCGCTTTAAAGAAGAAAAACGGCGTGTTTATATTATGCGCGCGCGCGCGCGCGCCCGTGCATGCGAGTACATAAATAAGAAGCTGAAGAAAAAAAAAAAACCTTCGAAGGGCTTTGCCAGCGGCAGTGGACAGCAGCACTGCTGTTGCACAGCCGCGTGAAAACGGAAACCAAATGAAGCCGCACACGCGAGGCACACTTGCGCCCGCGCGCGCCTTATACTGTACTACTATATACGGTATAGGTTCAACGTGCATTATAAGGTCTTTTATATTATCAAAGGTGTATATATACGTATAACGGCGAGAGATGGTGCACTGACTGACCAAGTGCAAAACTCGATAACGTATGATCTTTTACACTTGGCGGCTACTGTGAGCTGCAGCGCACACGCGCGAATCGATCTCGACGCCGATTCGTTGTTAATACCGCACGCGTGTATATAATTTCATGAAAATCGTAAAGACTCACTTATGTAGGAGTAGGTGTAGGTCGAGGATGCACCTGCCGCGAGGGTGGCCAGCAGCGTCTGGACGCCGAGCAGCAGCACGAAAGTGCCACGGCCGCCGAACGTCATCGCGATGGTCTGTATGGTATAATGCTCGGCGCAGCAGCTCGAGATCGCCAAGCTCTTATACCCTGAACAAAATTCGACTCCTTTTTTTTTCTTCTTTATCAACGTTGATACCGCTCGATGATGCGATGCGCTGTTTTTCTCTCCGAGGAGAGACGCGCACGATTGAAAATCGTTACGAACGACGCGCACAGTGCCGTCGATTGCAAAAACAAGAACAAACAAACAAACCAACGAACGGAGCACACAAAAACCCAACGATTTGCACACGCGGAGTCGCCGAACTGTATTTATATGTAGCACCTTTACGAGACGGAGTATATGGGATATATCGATGCTAATCGGCTGCGAGCAACAAACTGACTCTCTCACCCGACGCGCCGCTCGCCCCGGCAGCAGCTCGCGATGTATATATAAGCACAGCGGTCGAGGAGTATAAGCGTAGTATAGTAGTAGTAAGCTGGAATCTCTATCTTGCGCGCGCGAGTACTGCTCCGATATATATACACTTTATGTGTACGATATACCTATAGGTATAGGACAAGCAGCGATGACGCAGAGACACCGACGCTATACTGCCGATGCACAACACCGTATATTATAACTATATGTATGTACGAGACGGGGAGCAATGGGCAAGGGGGTAAAAGTCTCCAGAAAGATATGCCAAATACATATATACACGGAGTGGGAGCGCGTCGCGGTGTGCGCTCTTGCGCGTTTATTGTATATATGGTTGTACGTTTGTGTGTTTGCGAGCGCGAGGCTTTTTTGTGCCCTCTCGATGATGCCCCTCGCGCGCGCTCCGTGAAATCGTTGAATTTCGGAAAATTTCACGGAGTCGCGAGAAAAATCTACGACGATTCGGAGAGCTATTAGGTGTTCGTTTCTTCGCGTTGCGATAAAATAAAAAACAGAACTTTGAAGCATATACAATTTTATTATATTTTCTTTCAAATCATTACATACTTACACGGCTAGCGATCGCTTAACAATTAATTAACATATTAATAAAACGTACTCTAAGCATTTACTCTTCCATAGCCATTTCTGACTCGCCTTTGGCGGAATGCAATTCTCTCCTGATCTCTGCGGATAACACGTGATGATTCTTCTTCTTGATCAATTGCAGCAGAGCCTCTTTCTGCTCGTCGCTTATGTTGTTCTTGTATCGCTGCACAAAAGTCAGCAGTGCCTGGTGCCACAGCACTGGCATTTCTCTGGGATCTCTTTCGAATCTGAAATTTTAAATTTGGTAAATCAAGTGTTCGCATAAAAATTTGATGAATTTTAATGATATCGAGGAAAATCAAGTTGAACGATTACTTACTGCACAAAATGAAATACGCATCCATCGATTACTCGATAAGGTAGCGCATATTTCTTATCGAAGAGTATTCTCAAAAATATACTGTTGGCACCGTTATACTCCATTTCAGCGATTTTTAAAAGCGCTGTAGCTGAATGTAAGATGGGGATACTGTTCTTGGCTACAACGGATCCCACGATCAAAGCCTCTCTCAACGTGCAATTGCCACTCTCTAAAAGTGGAAGCAGAATTCCCTTCATGAATGCACCTGGCTTGTACAAGGCCTTTCTCAGAGCTTGATAAAGATGGAAATTCAATCTCTTGTATTCTTGCATGTCATCTCTCAAACGAGGTAACAATACTAGATTATAAAATCTTTGTGCCATATTTTCCTTCATATTAGATGCAAAGAGTCTGGTAGCTTGGTACACGGCAGCTGCAGTCCAATGATCGGGGTCTGTCACATACATAATTTGCTCCCAATTTCTGAAACTTGGGACTGCTTTGAAGGGTTTTGGAATCTTTCCACTTCTGTACTTTGACAAAACTTTTCCAACATCTTCGTACAATTTCTTGACCTTTGGATCCAATTCTTGCATAGCGACGCTTTGAGCACCATCAAACTGCGTTTCAATTTCCTGCCTCTTTCCATTAATTATCTCTCTAAAGCGATTACCTCCAATTTCCTTTGGATTTGTCATAAATCTAAAAATATCCTTTTCATCCTGTTCATCCAATTTAATCTCTTCGTAATCATCAATAGCAGAAAGTCCATCATCACTGTCATTGTTTTCTTCTTCATCACTAAGCACAGGACCTAAACTTCTTGTTGGTACTGGAGCAGAAGCTTGGAGAGCACCTTCTGCTTCACTATCTCCTTCTCCTTCTTCTTCTTGCCTTTGTTTATTGGATAGATTTAGAATTTTTTGAGATATCTTGGATTCTAAATACTAAAAAGTTAAAAGAGAAAAATTAATCACTCAAAAAATTATTAATGACATAGAATTTAAAATTCACATAAAAATCAATCTAACCTGTTCGTCTTTGTCCTGGCGTACTCTAGTTTTGTTTCTATTTTTCGGTTTAGCTAGCAACGCTGACTCAATAGCCTCAGCTAAAGTAGTATGCACTTGCTTCTTCGGTGGACCTGTCCGCATGGAGGAGGACACTTTAACTTTTTTCGCTTTACCCATTCTGAATAACGAGTGATTTCTTTAGAGACAAATTCAAAACACCAGCAGCAACGGAACACGTGCAGTAATGAGACTTCACTGAGGAATGAGCATGTGCGCTGCTTAGCAGTAGGCTATCGGCCGGTAATTTTCGGAAACAGCGCCACGATACAACTACAAGTTACGAACTTGTATGAACTTGTCTGAACCTTTGTATCTGTGAAAATTGGAATTTAAAAACCGTATTACAATAGCCAAACCCATTCGGGAAAGCAGTCAAGATATTGTTGGGAACTAAACAGATTAAATTTTATACGTTTTTATTTTTTTTTATTCGATTGCTCTCACTGATTTGTGTTTTCTTAAAGGTTTTTTCTTTAAAGTTTTCAAAAATAAATGTAATGTTGACACCTGTATCTACAAGGAATTTTTATTGATACAGATTACATTAGAATATGAATTTATTTATTACTAACATTATTAATTTTCATTTCGGGGCAACATAATGTGGATTTAAAGCAATCATGAATAATGAATACAACAACAATATGGTTTTCAAATGACCCAGCATTTTTTACCTCACACATTTTTATGGTTCAAAAAATTTCTATTGGAAAGAAAATGCAACAAAGAACTTTGAACAAAAATGATGTGTGTAATGTAATTATATGCTGCGACTGCTGAGAGCAGACGAGCGCTGAGCACGCCGCGCGCGGCGTGTTTCACTACTACTGTACACAAATTGACAAATATATGTCAGTCGCCCACGTGCATCAATTTCAAGCGGCTGCAAAGTTGTTGACGTATCTTAGTTTCATTCTTACAATTACCTAATAAACTGCACTCTGTATATTACGGTGCAATTATGCCATTGATTGTGTTAAGCGGTCTGCCCAGCAGCGGTAAAACGACCCGTGCCAAACAGCTCGAGGACTTTTTCCGATCGAAGGGCAAGAAAGTGAATATCGTGAGCGAGGAGCAGTGCATAAAAAATGCAAAGTTCGAAAAAAATGATTATTATTCAGGTATGTACTGTGTTTAAGGATCATGGCGATGAACGAATGACTTTCATAATTTTGATATTTCAGCCTCTAAAAATGAGAAGCAAGTTCGAGCCGATATCAAGTCTAATGTCATAAGGCTCATTCAACCGAATGAAGTTTTAATTCTTGATGGCAGTAATTACATCAAAGGTTATAGATACGAGCTCTATTGCTGCAGTAAAGAATACAAAACTACCCAATGCACGGTGTACTGTGATCTTCCTATTGAACATGCATGGCAATGGAATGAGCAAAGGCCAAAAGAAGATCAATATTCGAGAGAAATATTTGACGCATTAGTTCAAAGGTTTTTATAACTTTTTGTGATTAATAATTAATATTTTTACATAAATTATTTAATTTACTCCATTTTCCAAAAGGTATGAAGCTCCTGATGGTGACAAGAGATGGGATTCTCCACTTTACACAGTATATCCTGAAGATGACCTACCTCTTGAAGAAATTTATTCTTCATTAATTGATAAGAAACCACCAAAACAAAATATGAGTACTCAGTCGGTTAGTATAAAGCTTTATATGATCCATCCATCTCCAACTATTAAAGATAATCAATCATATGAAAACTTTGATTTTTTAGCAAGCTCCAACTGAAAAAAATTATATCCAGGCTTTAGACCAGATAACTCAAGATATTGTCAAAGTAGGTTGAAAAGATTATAGAATTGAAAGAAAAAGAATATTTATGATAACTAGGAATTTATTTTTTCCAGGAAATCACGTCCGCTCAGCAATTAGGAGTTGATAGTAATATAAAAATTTCCAAATACAATGTGATAGTTGAATCTGCAGGAACAATCAGACAACTGAATAATTTGAGAAAACAATTTGTCACGTTCAGTAAACAACAGCCACAAAAGATAGATAATATTCCTGGCTTATTTGTACAGTATTTAAATAAGAGCTTATAGAATAAAATTTTTTTATCTTAAATCAATGTTTCATTTCATATATTGAAAATACCTATTTGGTTGTTTTTCCATTATAAAATTATATTAATCACAATGTTGTAGTTTATACTTGATATACTTGATATTATGGGCTAACAGAAAAATTTCAATTCATTCGCTTACAAATTTTTTAAACATTAATTAATAATTAATTTTTTGTTTTAATTAAATTAAGTTTCATGTATACTTTCACTATCTGTTCTTTGCTCAAATTTCAGCCCATTCGTAACAAGTAGGTAGCAAAAAACTAAACAATTTTAACAAGTTCAGTATGCTAATAACATTAGCAAACTTTCAATCATAGAATCTTACAAAAATTCATTCTCAATTCTTAAATCTGTGTTAAGAAAATTTGTACAAGTTTTAACTTCGTTTTTCATACCAAGCTAAAGATATTAAAAGATGCAAATGTACAATGGCACTACTGACGAAAATACCTAAATCATGTTTTCAAAGCAAATTTAATCTTTACATCTTCAAAATGTTTAAAATTGTGATAATCGCTTTTATCTACATTTTACTCATAGTTACTTGTATTTTGTACTTCAATTTGTTCATATGCAAAAAATTTTCATTCAGCACAATAGAGTTTTGTTCACTAGGAATTTTCATAGCTTTATTTTGTCACAAAGTTAATGTCAGTAACGATAATAAAATTTTTTGTAACTCTTATTTAATTATGCTAAGAAAAAAGACATCTTAAACAAGATGTAAATCAATAATTATTAAATTGCTTGGTTAATTATCAGGGATAATAATCAATTTTCGTGCTCTTGACTGCCATTCGTTTCCGAGCCATTTGATACATTCATGGATTCAGAAACCCTCATCTTCTTAGGTTTTTGGCACACAAAGTAAACGCTGTTATATTCATATTGTAACATACTGTGTACGTTTTGTGCATAACGCGTTTTCACGTGTGTTTTTTCAGTCTAAAAAAAGAATAACATTTTCAAAAATCTTTTTTTAATTCCAAATATGAACTAAATGAAAGATTTGACAAAATGTAATATCATACCAGAATATTAAATCCAAGACCTCGAATTACATCACGTACTTCAAAATAACTCGGCTCGATTGACTCTTCCATAGGCATATCACTAAAGTGATACAGAAGTGGACCTAAATTAATCCATATTCCTCCAGGCTTTAGTATATTGTAAATGGTTTCTATAAATTGTACAATGTTATTTGCACAGTCAATGAAAAAGCATGTAGCAACACAATCCCAGTAATCATGCTCTGTGTACACCTAAAGAATCAAATAAATGTTTGAATTAAAAATTTTTACATTGATTACATAGCATTAAATTATATACATACTTCAAGAAAATCACCAGCTACCATAGAAAATTGTGCATTTTCAGGAAGATCACTGGGGTTTATGTCTGGGAAGTACACTTCTTTAATTTGATGCTGTGGCTCAATATTGTTCATGTACTGATGAACCCAAGGATGAACTCTGAATGAATTTATTCCCCGACATCTGAAACAGTGATAAAAATGATTAACATTTTGTATTAAATTAATTTGATTTAAAAAAAGGATACCCTACTTGTTGAGAACAAAGTGGGATGCAAAAAGCATGAATAAAGAAAATTCATTTCCTTGGCAAGTATAGCCTCTCCTTGCAATTTCATAAGCAAGTCGTCCTAATCCAGCTCCAGGTACAAGTATACGGACTTCTCCTGGGGTACTGGAAATTTACCCTATCAATCCATTTTTCGCAATAATGACTTTATCTATTATTATTTTATTTAAAGAGAGGTAGAAGAATAATTGAATGCACAGCCCGGCAGATGGTATTGTAAGAAATTAACACTTACCAATGTTCTAAGGGAAACTGATTAACAATTTCATCAATAATAGGCTGGTAACATGTTCTCCTTTCTTCCTCACCTTCTGTACTCCAGTCTCTAACAAACTGCTTGATAGTAGCTTGTACTTTTTCTTGATCAGCTAATATTGGTCTGTGTGCTACTGTCTATAATCACAAAATTATTCTATAAAGTATACGTAAATGAGATTTGATTAAAATTTATTCAAATATTATTAGTTATATTTTTCATAAAAACCTATAAAAACTAAAATCCACATACCAGATAAATTTGATTATGACATTCTACTGAGTTTTACTTTAAGTAACTGAATATTAAAATATTTCAATTGGAGGTCATACAAGCAATTTGCATTTTAATAGAAACAAGTTTAAAATTTTTCTTCGATAAACAAGGTCTTTTGAGTAGCTTATATTAATTAAAAGTGTAGTAAAAAGAATAGAGATATTTCAATATTCAAAAATCACTATTAAAATCTCACAAACTAAAAAAATATAAAAAAGTGTGTAACTACTTTCTACAGAATTACAAATAAAAAGTCCTACTAAGTCCTACAGGAAGAATAAACAGAAAGAAAGTATTAACAAATAAATATTGAAAATTCAAATCCAAACTAACACTATCAATGTTGTTAATACTATATCAATAGAAATACCATGCTAGCTACACACCAGAGAAACTTGTCTTACACTGTCGGTACTTGCATCCTCGGGGGTAACATTTTCAAAAATATTTGTGACATCCTTAATGATTAATCTGATAATATCGTCATTGTTTTCTATGCATCTTTTCACTTCATTGAGATGGTCTCTATAACGAGATAGCAATTTTTGGTGATGAGCTGGTAACGATAGAAGATAGGTTTCAGTCTTTTTAACACGCTGCAATGAGTGAGGTCTGAAAAATGAACATTACAATTAGCTTTATTCTTGGTATTACTATAATAAGACATGTTGATAACGATTATTGTTATTTTTAAGACAAGAATACTAGAGGGTTCTTGCGTATGTGTCATAACTGACCAAGTGATTGAATCAAGCAGGAGAATTTTTATCCAGGCAATAAATCTTACATTTACTTGTGAATGGCTAAATCGATAGCTTTAATAACAATAGTTTAAAGCTAAAGAGTCAATTAAAATAAAGGCACATGATAACATATAACGGAAAGAGAAAATACATGATAAATAGCCATCAAGAAATAGATTATCAATTTAGTGTGCACATGTGGTTTACCAAATCAGTGTTTTATTAATTTCTAACATTTATAGCAGAAAATGTTTCGCGTTAAAAAAAAAGAAGTCAATCGAGTTACACTCGCCTCAACAATATCGGACGCGAATTGCACAACATGTGACACACTAAAGATATCTTTCCATTTAAATAAAAAATTTCGATAAACAACAATAATAAGCATCAAAGAGGCGAATTCTACTGTGCATGTGTGCGAAAATATCACAGCATTGTAATATACGCATGTGCATATTCGTGCCGGCACCAACGACGTATAGGTGTACGATCGCACCTATACACATACCGCGAAATGCTCGTAAACAACTTGCAATTACATTTATAGGAGAGGAAATATAACGCGCCAGAGTGAAAGAAGATAAAGAGGAAAAAAATAATAATAAAAATAATAACAAAATCGGAGTCGCTCGAGCGAGAAAAAAAGAAGAGGATCATGCGGGAGAATCCGCAGGCGCTCACACTCTTTGTTTAGTAACATTAACAGATAAACGAAAAAAGTCATGCAAGATGCGAAGTTTCGTCTAGCCGACATTGTTTCGCGTATTAAACTTCTAAGCGTCGTTTATCGAAAAAAACAATCTCAAGGTCAGAAGATACACGGCGCATCCTATAGATATATATAATATATGAAAGGCACGTGGGCGCGGAATGATTTTTTGCTCGCTGCGAACGTTAACCAGGACCCGCGATTGGTCCAACGAATAAAAGTTCATCTCGGAGCGGCGATAATACATAGTTGGCTATTGTTAGTGAACGATAACGAATAAAACTAGAGAGAGAGAGAGAGATAGAAAAAAAATGACGGCACGAGGGGTTATAACGTGTCGTTTCGCAATTAACAATCGAACGGAGAAGTTGGTCGCGTTATGTATACGTAAAACGAGGAACATCACACGGTGTGTATCATATACATCGATTGCGATCTAACAACACATTCGGCCGAGAGGGCCGCCGATAAGGCGAAAAAAGAGAGAGAGAGAGAGAGAGAGAGAGAGAGCGAGTCCTCACTTGTAATATTTGAAAGCCGACACGATGCGCTGAAAGTGCTTCCTCTCCTCCTCGTCCTCGTACGTGTTGTTCATGTTTTTCGGATAATTTACGCCGTTCGGCTCGACCTCCATGGTGTCCGTCTTTTTTTTTTAATAAAAAAGAACGACTGTATCAACGACGATTCGCAATTGCACGCGATCGGTGCAACGCTGCTCCTCTTGTGTATATACGGGCTATTGAAAACCCCAAAAAAAAAAACAACAAAACGCGAGTTACACTGCACTGCCGGGCATATACATTCGCGCTGTGTCTGTCTATCTGTGTGCCGAAGTCAGGGATCTATGCTGAATCTGCAGCAGCACCGTACCGGGGGCTAACGCACGCACCAACTGTCTCTAGTACACGGTTTTCTGCACGCTCTGGCTGCTGCTCACATACACACACACACACACACAGACACGCGCCTATCTGACGATTCGCGCTTATAAGTGGGATTCTAGAATCTAGACTCGAGCTAACTGCTGCTATACACGATATTATTATAGAAGATCAGCCTCTCGTCGCGACGATGCGCGGCCAATCCTCGTATACGTATATATATTATCGTTATATATACAATGTACTAGAATGGAACGATTTTTCTATGCGTAATCGTTCTGCGCGCCTCTGCGCGAAAATGTTAACGTTCCAACGAGATATATATCGCGAGAGGAGAAGGGAGTCGAATGTGCGCCAGCGCCGACTTTTCGAGTTTCGACTGCTGCGATGTTTGGGTGTGTGTGTGTGTGACTGTGTGCTTCTGCTCCTGACTGAGAGTGCAAAATTTTAGCTCGAGACGATCGACGTTTAGAAATTGTCGTTCGCTCTCGGTTTTTTACCATTCGCACAGTCGCACCAGGCTAAGTTGTTCACGTTGGGATAGGTTTACAAGTTAAAGTCCAAAACGATCGTAGCTCTCGTCCGGACTTGCTAAAATATATATCGCTGATAATCGATGTGTATCGTATGTTTTCATCATTACTGCGCGCGACTGTATCGAAGCCAGAGCATCTGTCAAAAAGTCGCGGCACGAAACTTTTGAAATCGACGAATAGCAATCATTGAGAATTTACTCGTTAGGCTTGCTCTACAACTTGCGTCGCGTCTGTCATTTCACGCACACCTGAAAAACTCTCTTATTTTGATCAAATACAAACATTTCGAGTTAACCCTGATTCTCGTATCGTACTCCGTGTGTCTCTGCTATTTCGCGTCTGCTCGAGCACATGCATTGACAAGTTTATACTCGTACAGGAGAGTTGTAAATATATGGTATAGCGAAAAAAAAATTCAAAATCGACAAAATGAGTAACGACAACAATGCCGAAGAGCAATTGTATGCTCAGCATAAAAAAGAGAAGAAAGATCTGCAAGGTGAGTGCAAAATCAATCACTGTTGTTGACAACTTTGGTCTGTTATCATGAGCTCGAATATGAATTTTCAGCAAAAATTCAAGTGCTGAAGAAATCCATTTGCAAGGGCGACAAAAAGAAGAAAAAAGAGGTTACCGAAGAAATAGCCAAATTAGAACTAGATCTGAACAGAAAGCACGATGACGAGGTGGCACAGCTCAAATTGTCAGAAGTCAAAATTGACAATTGCGATGATCAAGATACCATTGGCTCTGATGACAAGTGCGATGATAACGAGAAAGAAATCAAACCCACGGTTAGAGTATCCAAAGCTCAGAAGAGACGAGAGAAAAAGGAAACTGCAGAAAAGGAAAGAAATCAGAGGATACTAGAGCAAGAAGCTCTCAATGTTCATGGAAAGAGACACATAGAAACTCAAGCGATTAAAAATATTCTCTTGAAGAGGGATTTGATGATACATGAAGTCCCGAGCGATGGACACTGGTAAGTGTTAAAAAGGCATCTTAGTTCAATGAAATAGATTTCACAAGTATTTAAACTCTCATTATTTTTAGCCTGTACAATGCTGTTGCACATCAGTTGAAAGCAATAGATCATTCGTCACTTCTAGGTCATGTGGATCTAAGACAAAAAACTGCTGTACATCTGAGAGAAAATTCAGATAGTTTTTTGCCGTTCATAGCTAATCCAGACTCTGATGATTTGTTATCTGATGAACAATATGAGAAGTACTGTGATGACGTAGCTAAAACAAGTACATGGGGTGGTGATATTGAGGTACTTTTATGCTCATTAGTAAAAGGAATCAAGAGTATGATTTTATCACACTTATATTATTATTTTATAGTTGCAGGTCCTATCAAATGTTTTGAAATGTCCTATAGAAGTCATACAAGCTTCTGGAGCTCCTTATTTAGTTGGAAGTGAATTTGAATCTGAAAGAAAACTTACTTTAACTTACCATAGACATATGTATCATTTAGGAGCCCATTATAATTCTGTGACCAAGTATGTTAAGGCTGCTGAAAGTTGATGTAATGAAAAAATCAATCACAATTAGTTCCATTCAAATTGTATATTTTGGGTAATTGAATCAATTTAAATTGAAAATGATTGATTTGATTTTATAAAGCAGTTAAATGCAACTCATTGCTAAACTCTTGCAACTTAAGAATTTTTGAAATAATTTAGTACACTTATTAGAAATCTAAATTGATGTAAATAGCGGTAAAAAAGAAAACAAAATACGTTCTGGTAAATTATATTTATTCAAAATTTAACGTTGTTTGTTTGTAAATTATTTTTCTGCGTTTTGATTTTTGACAGCAGGGTTTTCTTCTGTTGTTTCTTTATTCCTATTTGGATCGTCAGGTTTCATTGCTGGGAAGAATAATACTTCCTGTAAAAAAAAAAAATTATTTAGACAAAAATTAATCAAAACTTTTTGTATGTATGATAAATTGAGATGTACCTTAATATTATTAGAGTCAGTTAGGAACATTGTTAAACGGTCGATTCCTAGACCCCAACCACCTGTTGGTGGAAGCCCATATTCAAGTGCAGTACAAAAGTTTTCATCAACTAATTGAGCTTCATCGTCACCAGCAGCTTTGTCTTTGGCTTGTTGTTCAAACCTATTGATAAAAATTTCATAATACATTATATACATTTTAAAACAAAACATGATCTATTATCGAATCATTTATCGAATTTCTTTACCTTTCTCTTTGTACGAATGGATCATTCAATTCTGTGTATGCATTACAGATTTCTTTTTTCATGACAAAAAGTTCAAATCGTTCTGTAAGTCCAGGAAGATCCCGATGCCATTTAGCAAGAGGTGACATAATTTGAGGATGGTCCATAATGAAAGTGGGATTAATGCACTTTTCTTCTATGAAATCTCCTACAAGCTAGAAATGATAATAATAATATATTATGAGTTGATATCTATAATATAAATATTTAAAAACAATAATTAGTTATTGTAATTACTTTGTCAAGTAATCTAGCAGTTGTTCTTGGAGCAGGACATTCCACTTCATGTTTGGTACACAAATCGCTGAGGAATTTATTAGTTTCTGGTGTATTGAGTTCATTCGCATTTGGAAATTTCACTTTGAGTTCCTCTTCTAATGTCTTAATCATTGAAACACGTTTGAAAGGAGGTGTAAAGTCAATTTCCACCTCTTCACCACCCTCTCCATCTGGATGATACTTAACTTTGTAAGATCCATGAATTGTTTTTACCATGCCAGAAATCATTGACTCAGTTATCTGCATAATATCGTTATAATCTGCATAAGCCATGTAGAATTCACATGTAGTGAATTCTGGATTGTGAGTCATGTCAATGCCTTCATTCCTAAATTGCCTACCAATTTCATAAACTCTATCGATTCCACCAACAACCAACATCTGGAAATTTTATGAAAATTTTAAAATTGTACAATTTTGAGAAATTATTTTCTAAAAACATTAGTTTGTATTTTTTACCTTGTGATAAAGTTCAGGGGCAATCCTCATGAAAAGATCCATATTAAGATCATTGTGATGAGTTATGAAAGGTTTGGCAGTAGCACCTCCTGCTATCATATTCATCATAGGTGTTTCAATTTCTAAAAAGCCTAAATCATCAAGGAACTTGCGAACATATGAAATAATTTTGGCACGAACATAGAATTTTTGTCTGACGTATTCATTTAAAATAAGATCTAAGTAACGCTGCCTAAATCTCGTTTCCTAAAAATAAGTTCACATAGATAATAATTAATGATAAATAAAATAGGTATTCGAAAATTTAGATTTTGTATTCTACCTTGTCTTTCAATCCAAAATGTAAATGAGGAAGCATGTGCAGACAAGGGCTGAGAAGTGTAATGCTTTTGGGCATAATTGAAAATTCACCCTTTTTACTTTTACATGGGTGACCAACAACTCCAATAATATCACCACGACCTATTTTTCCAGTTTCTGGTGCAAATTTTTCTTCACTGTGATAATGTCTAGCATTGGCCATAACTTGAACTTTGACTCCTTCACCACGAAGATCGTAGAAAATAAGCTTGGCACCAGAAGCTCTGATAGAATGTACACGGCCAGCAATGCTAACACTGACATTTTCCATAACTTCTCCATCGCTTACTTTTGTACTGTACTGTTCAATAAAGTCTTGTAGCGAAATAGTTACATTGAATTTATGAGGATATGGATGATCTCCAGAAGCTTTCAGCTTTTCTACGGCTTGGCTCCTAAGTTTAAAATACTCCTGCAAATTTTTAAAATGTTTGTTAAGCTTCTTTTTCTCATATTACAAATATTATAAAAAAACCAGTTTGTAAACTGCTTACATTGGGGCTAATATTTTCCTCCGATATTTTGTTTGGATCAGCCTCTTGAACAGATTTAGCATCTTTTGCCCCTTCTTGCTTTTTAGTTTCTTTTTCAGCTTTCTCCTTTAATTTTTGCTCAGCTTTCAATCGCCTCTTCAATTCACTATAAAAAAGTTATTAAATTAAAACTATATCAAAGTTAAATGTAATAAATAAATTCTTTATGTATAATTTTTCAGTTCCATAATGAATAGTTTTCAAAAAGGAAATTATTATTAAATATTCAGAGAAAAATAAAATGAACAATGCCTCAAAGTTTCACATAAAAATATTCCTTAAAAATCTGAACTGCCTTTTTGCACTGAAACTTCTCTGAACAAGTTTTTAAAATTTTTAAATTGTATTATAAGAAAGTCAGAAAATGACAGTCAATCTTACTGACAGGCATAAGATAACGATTAACAGCGAACAATAGTAAACAACATTTAAAACGATATTTATGACGCTATTAAACATCGCGTAACTCTCACGAAAATCTCGTAAATCAAGCGTGTCGACGTACGATGTAAAAATGAAAACGAAAAAAATGATATTGTACTTAGAGGCAGGCGTAGACAGTATCGAAAATAAGCTCTTGCCCCAAAAATAGCCTCTTTTATTTTAAGAAACCCACAAGCCGTTTTGACAAGTGCAAGATCGAACTCTGACAATCGAATGACACATGATAATGAATGAGCTTGATTGAGAAAACCTTGGCTACGCACTTTTTCGTGGACTGCTGGCAAATACCGGCCAGAACGCTAATTTTCCGCAGGTCGAGGCAACGTGCTTCGCGCGACGGCCAGCTCGATGCACTCGACGGTACTACTTTGGCGCATCGGCTTATCAAACGAGAACATCTGCTCCACGTGCTCAGCATTGTTGCTCATTAGACAATCGTTTTCTCTTTTCTTTTCTTTAACTTTGCCTCATCGCCGACTTTTCATTGTTCGAAGGGAACGAATGAAAGCCGGAATGACGAAATCAAAAGTGGAGTTTCGCGAGTGAGGTTAAGTCACCCTTCGCATGAGTTGCAGACGATGTGTCGCATACGTTTGGTTCTTTGAGCAATGTGTGCAAGAAGGAAAAAAACGCGCGTACCACGGGAGATAATTGCCTCGCAATTATTACGTAGAGATCCGAACGCACTCGAGGATTGTTACTCACTTTTTCGACAATTTTTCGCCGGCCGCTTCTGCCATTGCAATAATTTATAACGAATTCCACAAAAATTAACGAGCAAGCCTTCAATACTGATTGTGCGAAGCCAAAGAGTCGCGCAGAGTTCACAACGAGTGCACACACAGACGCACGAGCTTTCTCTCTCCTATGAATAACTGTACACTTTTATGTACCGCAAAAATCCTGCCGAGCGCCAACCATCGTTCGCCTCGTGGAGCTCGGACGAATTCCCGCTCTTTTTGTCTGTGAGCATGCGTCGTGTTGCGCTTTTCAAATGCAGAAATGTATCTCGCATTTTTTTGAGTGATCATATAAGTATGCATCAAAATAAAATAGTAGCTCTTTCAAAATGTAAATTACCAGTAAAAGTTGACGAAAAATCTTACATTTGTATAATAAATTTCACAAAAAATGTCTTGGCTCCTTTTGAAAATCGATAAAATGGAAAAATTGTCAACCCTATTTAAATAAGCCCAGTTAATCTATTTTAAAATCAATAAAAACACGAATTTTTATCGAGTATTTAAACTTTTTCAATTGCGCTATTGTTCTTTAATATACATTATTATAAATATTTTTTTTTTAATTCAGTGGAAAGCTTTTATAATAATAAGGCTGATTATAGCCAGAGACACCGGCTACGACGAAAAAAAGTTGTTGAATTAAACAATCAAAAACATGATTTTCTTGAAAAAAATTTTTTTTTAAAGTGACTTGAATTTAAAATATTGAAATTCATATTGGTGTACATCAAGGTGACGCATATAGTAGAAAAAAACCGAAAACTTTCGAATTCTGGAAATAATGGCAAATGCAAAAAACTAAACATGACCCAAGGGATGATCTTTGAACAATTTTAAGGCAATTTCCAAATTCATCAATTTTCCGTTGAAATATTCATTATTGAGGAAAAAGTTTAATTATTATTCATTTAAAAATACATAATTATTTTTTTTCAAGTAGTTTCGTAAAATTATGCTGATTGCAAAATTAAAAAATTCTGAAAAAATTCTAGATTATTTTTTAAGTAATTTAAAGAATTTTTACCCTATTTGTTTAACTCCACGTCAAAAATCCGGTATGAAACCAATATTCAAATGTATATGCCACGGATTGATGTATTTCCGTAGTTATGCCAAGCCCGGAACACACTTGATTTTTTTGACACTTTGTTTTGTATTTAAAATTAATTTTCTTACAAACTGCTCCCAATTTTTCAAAATATTTACACTAAAAAAGAATCAAATATTTGCCCCCGACTGCCAAATGTTTAACACTCGATGGGCAAATTCGTGCTATGTTAATTTTCAATTTGCTGTCTCTTGTTGTAAGGGTTGTAAAATGAATGGCACTTTAATAAAAAATGAATAAAATTGTTCTAATTATCGAAAAAATTACTCAAAATTAGACATTTTAATGAATATCTTTGTCTCATTCAATCGAGGAAAATCTGATATAAATTTTTGAAAATTAATTTTTTTCGCACTGTAACATTATTCAAGAGGGACTAAGAAAGGCGCGTGTAAAGTTTCAAATAGTTTCGTTCAAGGGGATAATTTCATTGCAAATAGTAAAAAAAATCACTTTTTGAATATACATTTTTTTTGAAAACTATAAATTTCATTCATTCCGGACCATTTGGATATTGTTCCTTACATATGAAACTACAAAAAAAAAATTTTTATGGGACTTGAGACCCATTTTGTTGGCTGCAGGCGGAATTTGCTGAAATCCACGTTTCAGCTCTTGCCAACAATTGAGAAAAAACTAAAAGTTCAATCTTCATGTTTCATATGTCGTTTTAATCGTTACAACTTCCTCTAGAACATAAACCGCTGAAAAGTTGATATTTTCAATTTTTACGATTTTGGCATTAGTTTTTCTGAAAAAATTCACCCTCGTAAAAAAATTAGAGATGATTTTTTTTACTTTTTAGAGGTTTGTGTTCTAGAGAAAGTTTTAACGATTAAAAAGAGATATGGAACATAAGGATTGGATTTGTAAATTTTTCTCAATTGTTGGCAAGAGCTGAAAAAAGTGGTTTCAAGAAAAACGCGTTCGAAGTTTCATTTTGTACATTTTGAGCACGCTAGTCGCTTCGCAAAATCGGGCATAATTTTTTTCCCAATATGAATTTAGTTCTAAAATTTTAAAAGAGTATTTTTATGATGTTTAAGAAGGTTTTAATGTAAAAAAAGTGTATCAATTGTTTTTTGATTTTCAATGGAAATATCCCCTCAAGAAACGCACACGCTTTGGTTAATTTCTCAATAATTTTTATTTTAAGATTGAAAAATCAATTGAGCATTAGATGAGTCACTAGTGATTAAGAAGTTTTTTTTAATCCATTTTCAAAAATTGAAAAAAGAGGAAAATTTTGCTCCGTAGCATATCTCTAATGGCGCTTGCAAGGAAGAGGGGCAGTGCTAACGTAGCAACTGCACCACCCCGCCCCTACGAGCCGCTAAACTGATTCGATAAATCTCGTCATGCGCACGACTTCGCAGAATTCAGGAGGGAGATAAAAGTCATGGCAACAACTACGAGAGCCATTTCATCGTCGTCAAGGAGTGTCTTGGGCGGTTCAGGGAGGCGGGCGTAGGAAAGCACGCCAATCAGAATAAGCTCGCCGCCATAACATCGAGCAGGAATGAGCAGGATAAGGTCATTCGCAATAACATACGCGGAGCCAGAAACCAGACACGACCGAGAGCCTCAGGGCCAGAGGCGAACAACAACAATAAATAATTGAGAGCATGTAATAGCGACCGAAACAGTGATGGTATTGATTACAACCAGTGCCGAATTATTGCATAGGCTGAGTCTACCCCACAAATTTGTAAAAAAAAACTTTATAGCCAAACGGACCGAAGAATATAAAATTACAAAAAATAATAGACACTTGTAAACCCATGTAACGGCAAATAACTCAATTGACAAAGCTCGAGCTGTTTTTATATAATTAAATAAAGTAACTTCCGCATGCACGTGATAATGACGCCGAGGCGAAGCCGTTACAAAGAGAATGGAATCGTACGAAGATTATAGCGAATAATTGAAAAAAGGCTCAAATACATTTTGCTTTTTCATATTAAATATAGGCACCTTCGACGTTGATGATCGACTTGCAGCAAATCTTGCTCACAACACTTATAGTCAGGTAAGCTGGTTCATTTCAAGAACTATATGCAACATGCACGTGTAATTCAATTCAAATAATTTTTCAAATCGATGCGAAAATAAGCATTTTAATTCTCCATGCAACGAACATATTAATTTTCTTGCATCCGATGAAGATTTTCATATGAACGAGAATGTTTCAACCGATGAAAATTATTCAGATGGAGATTGTTATTTTACTGATGAGGAATATGAAAATGGAGATGAACTTTCAAAATCGGACCAAGAATTATACTTGAGAACTCACATCACCGCAAAAGAATTCATCCACTCCACTACGAATGATTCATCTATACTGTGCATTATCGTAACGGTAAGTGTATATTTATTCAGTCTCTGTACGTTCTCTCTTGAAGGTATTCTCTTGTAGGTTCAACTACTTACTGGAGGTGCCAGAGGAAGACACAGTGCTCTGCTCGAATTACCACCGTTCAAGATGGGCATGAGATAACGGTGAAGAAAGGGGGAGATGCAGAGTCTCACGAGCCAGCGCACGTCCCGAATCCAGATGAAGTCGAAGCTCTCAGGATACTATCGAACCTCAAGCGAAAAGCGGCCGAACATCCTGAAGCTCCACCGTCAAGGTTGATGCGGTTCTTGCAGGATGCCGACGATGCTGTGCTGGCTCAACTTCTCGACCGCATGAATATTCGGAAGAGACTTTTGATCTATTTGCGGAGCAAGAAGATCTTCCTGAAATCTTTCTTCCAATTGCAGATTACTTTGAGGTAAGTGATACGTACATTACTATTATTTACAATTTAAAATTAATATTCTTACTCTGCACAGACGACGTACGTTCGTGGCAGAAAAGCAAGAGGCCGAAGAGCGAGGGTGGAAGTCCGTTATGCGCCTCGCCTATGGAACCAATACCAGGCCGTGCTTGATGGTACGGCAAGAACAAACAACGCATCTGAAGGATGGCACAATCGATTCCAGATGGTTGTTGGAAGACACCACCCAAGCCTCTATGCTTTTTTGGCTGAATTGCAACACGAACAAGGCGAAACCGAGACAATTTTGCATCAAATAGATTTGGGCCAAGCAGTTCGGGAAATGCCGAAAGGCAAGTTGCAAGAGGCAGAAGATAGAATATCTAACATCGTGAGGCGCTACGATGAATACGTCGAGGACGACAACATTCTGAAATACCTCACAGATCTCGAACATTACATGCACCTTTAACGCCGACAAATAAATCTACTTTTTTTATAAAAATTGAGTATTTTTTATTTTTTTGACCTTTTCAGGCTTTGGACATTTCTGGTGTTTGACCTTCCGGGGGTTTGAACCTTGCGGTCTGACCTTTTCGGTCTGACCTTTTTGGTTTGACCTTTTTGTACCGGAATCCATACAATTCATGATGTATCATAACCACTCATCTGCTCGCATACGTTGTTTTGTAGGCTGAAGTCGCAGTGAAAGTAATGCAGAAAATCAAAATGTCAACCGACAGTATTTCAAACTGCATAATGAAACGAATGTCAATGGTGAATTTTATACTGCATTTTTGCGAAGAGTTGCATTGCCAAGGCTTCTCAAAATATGTCCTAACGCTTGGTGGCAGCAATATGTATCACCAAGCCACGGAAGCAATGCAACACGTGTAGTTTTGAATCATAACTTTCAAGGCAAATTGATTGGAAGGGACGAACCGGCCTCATGGCCCATGAGTAAATGTGAATGTGCCCAATATGAATGTGTGTGACTTCGGTTTATAGACCGACTTGAAACGCAG